CCTGGAGACCACCCTGCCCCGCCACGCCACGCCCTTCCTGCCCCGGGCCCCCAGGCTGCTGGCTGAAGCGGTCCCGGCAGCTTTGCTGACCGGATATTAAAGTGCGGAGAGTTGTCGCTCCTGAACACCATCCTGCCTGTCGTGATTGTGTAAGACAAAGACCAAGGGAATCAATGCGACGGTCCCTGCAGGTCACCCGGGCCTTGCCCTGGCCGGAGAGGAGCGTGGTCTGCACTGAGGTCCCCGAGGGATGGAGACACCACAACCATAGGTCCTCTTCCCAGTCTGGAGGCCAGGCCCTTGCAGCAGCTGGAAGTTCTCTCCGATGTCTAACCTCTCTCCCCGGCAACCTCGGTGCATTAGACGAGAACCAGTCACCTCCCCCCGCCCTCACGCCCAGGATAATGACTCTGGAAATTTGCAAATTGGGATTTTCTCCTTGGTTTTTCTCCAAGGTGAAAAACTTCGACTCAACTTTTTGCCTCCCCCCGCCCCAGCTTTTCACCACAGAATTTTATAGAAGAAACTATAAAATGGTTATCTAATCCAAAAGCCCACCCCAAACGGGAATCTCTGCCCCGTCCCTATCCGCACACCAACACACAGGCACACACAGCCCCCGGCAGATTCAGCCGGAACATTCCAGGGGCCGGGAACTCGGTACTGGCTAAGGCGGCCATTATTGGATAGCACTCGGGTTGTTCGAAAGCTCTTCTCCACGGCATTTCCAGAGGAACCCCGCCCTCCTCGCCTGGCAGCGTTCCCACCCCACCTCTGTTGGCAGCGCGCGGGTGAAGGTGGAGGAGGTGTCATGCTGGAGCTCCAGCAGGCTCAGCAGCCCCCACCCCCACCCAGGCTCTCAGCGCCTTCCACTGAGCGCCCCGAGCCTAGAGGCGGAGAGGGCGGGCGGGCGGTGCGGGACCCGCGGCTCTGCCCTGCTACAAATCACTTTCAGGTCAGTGACTCAAAAATAGTAACATTCGTTGGGCTGCATCTCATGTCCATGTTATCCGTTTAATGTGGCAGAGTCCGGAAGCAATTCCTTTAGGTCCCTACCTCTTTTTCAGTATTCCCACCCCACTCCCCTTTCCCAGGAACCTCCCAGATGCGCTTCCTCAGCTCGCCCCCTCCTCCGGACGCGCAGCCCTAGTGGTCCCAATAGGAAGCACTGTGGGTCTCGGTGGGAGCCGAGCAGGAAGGAAGGCGGGGCCGCCGGGGGCAGCGGCCGCGGGGGCGAGGCACGGAGCTGCAGCTCCCACCCCGGAGCAGCCTCCGCAGGTCCTGGCGGAAGCGCAGGCCCAGAAAGGCGTAGAGCACGGGGTTGAGGCCGCAGCGCGCGAGAGCCAAGCCCCCGGTCACCAGCAGGGCCAGGTCCTTGCGCTTACTCGCCGGGCAACTCCGCTCGCGCGCGGCCAGGAGGTCGGCCGTATCCAGCAGCAGGGCCAGGCTGTAAGGAAGCTGCAGCACCACGAAGGCCGCCACCAGGGCCACCACCACGCGCAGCGCGCGCCGGCGCTCCGGCCCCCTGGCGGCCAGCAGCGTGCGACCCAGCAGCGCGTAGCAGGCTGCCATGACGCCCAGCGGCAGCGCGAAGCCCAGGGCCACCTGCGCCACCGCGCTCGCCCCCTTCACGGTCTGCGCGAGGCCCTCGGGGAAGATGAGACGGCAGCGTCGCTGCCCTTCCCGCTGCCCGTCTTGGCTGAAAAGAAGAGCAGGCAGTGCCAGGAGCAGCGACAGCAGCCACACGATGACTGAGACCAAATGTGCTCTGCCCGGCCCCGAGGGCCTCGGTCCAGCCGGGAGGGCCCGCGTAATGGCCAAGTAGCGGTCGGCGCTAATGCAGGCCAGGAAGAGGAAGCCTGCATGGAAGGAGGCCGAGTAGAGGCCCGAGATGGCACGGCAGGTGGCACTTCCCAGACTCCAGCCCTGCAGAGCCCCCGCTGCGGCAAAGGGCAGGGTCAGGGCCAGCAGAAGGTCTGCCAGGGCCAGCTGCAGCAGGTGGGCGCAGGTGGGTGAGCGGGCGGCGTTTCGGGCTGCCAGGTGGGTGGCCAGGACCAGGCCGTTGCCTGCCAGACCCAGGGCAGCCACCGTCAGGGAGATACTGGATTGGAAGGCGCGACTGAAGGCCTGGACATCCGCCTTGTAGCAAAGCTCTGGCAGAGGCTCAGCTGAGTAGGCCTCCTCATCGTCTCCAGAATATGGGCCCCAGGAGACCTGGGGAGGTCAAAATGAGACAAGAGACCCTATGAGTCCTTATCTTCCCATTCACACAAAACAGGCGTTGGCTTTCCTTGCACCCCCCTTGCCTCTGCATCCAGCTTTCTGGGTGACCTTGAGCAAGCCACTTGCTCTTTCTGGATCTCAGTTGCCTAATATGTAGTAGGGTTGTTTGAAATAGGAAGATAATGGATGTGAAGCATCTGTGCTCTTCATAGGCCAAGGGTTTGTATTATTAATAAACCTGGGAGCTCCAGTTCCGCTTGCAGCGCCCTCTCCTGGAAGTACTCGCACACGCAGGCTTTGCCTCAGACCCCATGGCCAGACTCTAGACTCCGTCTCCTTTCCCCTTTCCCCTCCCCAAAGCCCACCCCTACCGCCAGTGCACTGACAAACTCATGACAAGCGGGTCTCAAGAATTGGGGCTCAGGTCTGCCGTTGCACCTTGGACCTCTACGTTCAGCTCACCCTTCCCTTCAGCCCGAGTCCTGTCCCCCAACCCCAGCCTCACATCACCAGCCCCGTTTATCTGGAGGCCCCTGATCCCACATGGCTCCAGGAAACCTGTATAGGTCAGAGCCTGGCAGAGGCCTGTCTCCAGGTGTGGAATCCCATGCCTTCGCCTTACCCTCCCTCTCTGTAATCCTTCCTCCCCCCTTCCCCCACTCCCACCTGCTCTGTGGGCTCGGTCCCCATCTCTGGCTACGCGGGTTTCTGAGGTAAAGCCACCGGGGAGAGAAGTTAAACTAGTGGGACAGGAAGGAAGGGGCGGGGAGAGCGGCCACGAGGGTGGTGGGTGTTAGGGTCTGTGAGCCCTCTCTAACCAACTTACCCATTCCACTCCCTAAAAAACAATTTCCCTACCAGTAGAAAGAGAATGGGTTTTAGAATATCTCATTTGCTAGCTACCTGTGTGATGGTGTTTTTTGTGTGTGTGTGTGTATGTTTTTTTTTTAACCTCTCTGAGCCTCAGGTTTTTTATCTGCAAAATAGAGTAAAATAAAAATGCTGAATTCACAGGATAATGAGGATGCCTAGTAAGGGTGCTTGCAACATCCTTTGCCTTCGGAAAATGTTAAAATCTTTTACATACTCTTCTCCCCATATCCAGCCCCCCGCCCCCCTTGGATTTTTCACGACCTTCCTTCCCCCTCCCCTGCGACCACAGCCACTGCCAGCCTCAGGTTATTCAGGGTATTTCCCGATGCCTGGAGGCTCTCTACCCCCGCCCTTCACAGCGAGGCTGAGGCGCGCGCTTGCGCGGAGTCCGGGAAAGCAGCGCCCGTTAGGAGAGAGAGGCTGGGGAAGGGGGGAGGTGAGAGGAGAGAGGGTGGAAAGGAGAGAGCAGCATAGAACCTGGAACGACTGAGAGAGGGGGGGCGAGGGGAGAAGGGTTGGTTTGAAGAGGGGTGGGTGGGTAAGGAGGAGAGACAGTGACCCGCTGAGAGCACCAGGAGAGCTCAGAGCCCGAGCCGGAGCTGGAGCTGGAGCCCGAGCCCGAACTGGGCACTGGGAGGCGGCCGCGGAGACCCTTGAGCCCTGCAGGATGCGTCTCCGGCTCTTCTGCATCCTGCTCGCCGCGGTCTCAGGAGCCCAGGGCTGGGGCTACTGTGAGTTCGGGGCTCGGAGGCGGGCAGGGTTGGGCCCGGGAGTTCAAAGCACCGCATCCGAGCCGGAGCTGGAGCTGGAGCCCGAGCCCGAACTGGGCACTGGGAGGCGGCCGCGGAGACCCTTGAGCCCTGCAGGATGCGTCTCCGGCTCTTCTGCATCCTGCTCGCCGCGGTCTCAGGAGCCCAGGGCTGGGGCTACTGTGAGTTTGGGGCTCGGAGGCGGGCAGGGTTGGGCCCGGGAGTTCAAAGCACCGCATTGCGGCTGGGTGGTCGCCGGTCCCTTCCCCGCCGGCGCGCGCTCGCTGGTTCGCTTTCGTCCTTCCCAGCCTCTCCCCCACGCTCCGCAATGCAGTTCGGCGGCCGGAGCGCGCGCCTGGTGCTGGGGTTGGGCTCGGAGCCGACGATAGAGTCGGCCCGGCTGGGATTTGGCACTACGATCCAAGCCAGAGCTAGTGCCTCGGTTTGAGAGTTGGGGATAAACGTGTTACTGGTGACCCGGGCTAGGATTAAGGTTTTGCCAGGGGCTGGGTTTGGCCTTGGAACTGGCCCAGGGGCTAGGATTTGGGGTTGGGGGCTGGACTTTGGGACTGGGATTCAAGGTGGAGTTGGTGCCAGATTGATGCTAAGGTTGGACACAGAACTGGTGATGGTGTCAGGACTGGCTGGGGTTGGGACCAAGGCCTGGATCTGGAATTGGTGCAGGTTTGGGGATGCTGATGATGGGACTGATGCTCAAGCTGGGCTGGATTGGTGTCTTGGGCTGACTCAGGTTCTGAAAGATGCTGAGTTTGAGATTGTGTTTTGGGGAGTACTGAGCCCGATTAACACCATGGCAGGAACAGGGCTAGGGAGGGTCTGGCCTAGGAGTTCCCCCAGAAGAAGATCGCCTCCCCTGAGTGTGCCCCAGTTGCTGCAGCCCGGGTTGAGTAGATGGCTTTAAGTTAGGGCTGGGTCTGCTGCTGGGGACCTGAGAAGGAGGAGCTCCAGTCGCTCAGTGTGCGGGGCCTTGGGAAGACCTGGGAGGGGCTGACCTGTCCACTATGTCTGTCCCCCCAACCCAGACGGCTGTGATGAGGAGCTGGTGGGGCCCTTGTACTATCGCTCCCTGGGTGCCTCCTCCTACTATGGGCTCTTCACGGCTCCGCGCTTCGCCCGACTGCACGGTGAGCCTGGCCCCAGGGAGCGGGGAGGGACTCTGGGGGGCTGGGAGTAAAGGGGGAGCCAGTGGTGAAAGCCCTGGTCCCTTCTATAGGCATAAGTGGATGGTCTCCCCGGACTGGTGACCCGAATCCCTGGCTCCAGATCGACTTAATGAAGAAGCACCGGATCCGGGCGGTGGCCACACAAGGCTCCTTTAACTCTTGGGACTGGGTCACACGCTACATGCTGCTCTACGGTGACCGAGTGGACAGCTGGACTCCGTTCTACCAACAAGGGCACAATGCGGTACTCCAGCTCCTGCATACACTCTTGGGGAACCTCCTCAGTTTTGCAGCCTGGGCTGGGCATTAATTAGCTTGTGGGGAAGGGGAGGAGGCAGGGGTGAGGGCACAGGTTAGGAGCAGTGACTTCCACTGGGAGACTCTGTTCAGAAGGACTGTGAGCTCACAGGTGGGCAAGACACTCCCGGAGGACAGGGTTCCACAACCTTAGAGCTTTGAAGGAGTTGACACCTGAGCTGAGCTTTGAGGAAGTAATGAGATAGTGGGAGAGTACACTCCGGGAGAGGAGATAACTGTGTGCCTAAAGCCCTGAAGGCGGGAGATCAAGGAGCGTTTGCTTGGCATAGTCCAGATTGTCTGGCTGTGACACCTGTGGGCTGGGAAACAAGCCGGGGGTGGGGACCGGTCACTCCCCCTCTCTCCCCCGCAGACCTTCTTCGGGAACGTGAACGAGTCGGCCGTGGTGCGCCACGACCTGCACTACCACTTCACCGCGCGGTACATCCGCATCGTGCCCTTGGCTTGGAACCCGCGGGGCAAGATCGGCCTGAGGCTGGGCCTCTACGGCTGTCCTTACA